ATATATATATATATATATATATATATATATATATATATATAAACATAACTCAAAAAATACTAATGGGAGAATTCCCAAATTTGTCAATTAAGATTTTCAACAACATTTTTAGGTGACACATTAAATTTGGTAATTGTGGTACCACCAGAAGAGATATAATGAATGAAAGAAGAAGAAAGGTACAATTTCGGAAAAAAAATTTAAAAAAATATATAGCATTTCTGGAGGAATCTCGACGAATTATAATAAATAAATATAGTTTAAAAAAAACTAAAAAACACGCTTTTACAGCACATCAAACTAAAAAGTGAAAAATAATTATTAATATAAACTGAAAACAATAATGAACGAAAAATACTAGTATTATTGTGAAAAAAAGCGTGGGTTGCTCGATATACGAAAAATATGGCACAAAGCGCCCCACGCTTTTTTCACAATAATACTAGTATTTTTCGTTCATTATTGTTTTCAGTTTATATTAATAATTATTTTTCACTTTTTTAGTTTGATGTGCTTTAAAAGCGTGTTTTTTTAGTTTTTTTAAACTATATTTATTTTTCACTTTTTAGTTTGATGTGCTATGAAAGCGTGTTTTGTAGTTTTTTTAAACTATATTTATATTGCTTATTGATGCTGATATTATAACATATTACGATCCAACAGATATTTCTGAAAAAAAAAATTTTTTTATTTCAGCCATGGGATTTGAACTCACGCCCAAGAAATCCGTCGCGTCGTTTCACGTCGACTAAGACTTGCCCGCTCTGCCAACGACCGACCTGACAATCACGGAATATACTTACAATATTAAGCCTCTTGCTCTCACGCAGAGGTACGTGAGGAAAGGACTTGCGATCCTGATTAGGATAATGATATAAACTTATCAAATTATTGTATTGTTACCGGTTCTTCGTAAGTGTACAAAGTTTCAATTAAATCTGTCCGTTTAAAGTGGGTCAAAATCGAGTCCAAAGAGTCGGTTACAAACAAACAAGCAAACAAACAAGCAAACAAGCAAACAAGCAAACAAGCAAACAAGCAAACAAACATACAAGTGAAGCTAATAAAAGCGTGTTAAAAACATAACAGATTATAAATAAGCCTGGTCATTAATCCGACAGAGACGTACTGGGTATGCATCATATCATAATACTTGAATAAGTACAATAATAAAAACAAAAATATTTTATATATTGTGATGTATGTTTTTGTACTATTTCGTTCGCTTTAAATTCTTTTTTTATGTATTTCCTTATATTTTGTAAGCTTAGTGCTGCACATTATTATTAAACTGTTAAATGACGTTCACACATGTACATTGTATATCTAAGTGATAACTAATAATAAATAAATAAATACATAAAATAAATGGAAATAAATTTTATTAATACTGGTACACTTTATAAAAATATGTACAAAACTCACCTTCTTAAGCAGATTTATGAAGTAGCTTAGTTGTCGTTATCACAAACTGGAGCACTTCTGTAATAACTGTGTAGCATCAGATATGTTTCTACAGTTGTCTCAGTAAGCGATGTTCGCTGTGGTGAAAAAATATGTTTGTATTTTAAAAAAAGACCGTTCGACATCTACGGCAGTAATACAGGCATAAGTAAAACACTCTGTGAACTCACTTAACGCAGCTGTAGATGCACCATCACAAATTTGTCTTAATTTGGTAAAATCAGGATCTTTCCGTAATACACTCTCGAATTTTTCAATAACGGGCTTATTTTTTGCGTCATTTATAGTCTGTAGCTGTGTATTTACGTCGTCCACTATTTGCAGCGATTCCACTAACGACAACGAAGTATTTTGCAATTTTTTATTGCGTCGTGTAGTGCTCTATAATTGTTATAAATAGTTTTTAAATCTATTTCAAGGGAAACATCTTGAAAGCTTGTCTGGCTTTCCTTAATTGCTGCAGCCTCGTTAGGGTTGAACTGTAGTATCACAGATTTTATTTGTTGAAAATATTCAGCATAATAAAAAGCTGCCTTCAACCACGTTCCCCAACGTGTAAGAATCGGCTCTGGTGGTTCCGGAATACCAGGACACAGTGTGTGAAATGCTCGAAGCCGTTTAGGTGATTTGAGAAATACATTTTTTGTATTTGCTATTAATGCATCTACCTCTGGAAAACATTTTCATATCGTTTCTGCTACAAGATGGAACGCATGCACTTTACACGTAACATGTAAAAACCTACAATCGTCTCTCTGAAGAAAACGGCCCACCAAAGGCATTGTCGCAGCACCGTCGGTCACAAACTCAACACTTGACTTGTTGACAGTTCAAATTTTTCGAAAGTCTCCAACACCACCCGCGTAATTGTTTCGCCAGTACACGCAGTTAGTCTTTTGCTAGCTAGTAAAAGTGGAAATGTTGGTTTAACAGGGTCGAGTACACGTACTACAACATTTAAAATAGAATTTTTTTTACAATCTGTCTTCTCGTCAACACAACCACAGCCGTGTATTTTTTAATGCACATTTAATCCTAGTTACAATGTCTTCACGGACACTAGATACATATCTACGTAACGATGAACAACTTGGTAAATTCACCTGGGGATTGTATTTATTCCAGAACTCCCGAAATTTTGGTTTATCCAATATGCGCAGGGGAACATCACAGGCAATCGACATTAACAGTAAATCAAACATAAACTGAGGTTCCAAAGAAGACACGCCATTTTTTTATTTTTATGCCGGTTACTATTGACATGAATTTTGCAGCCGTATTTATTCTAGCACATTAAGTCTTGGTCACAAACTTAACAAATTATTTTACATCCATCATAGAATAAATCCGGAAATTCACCGATAAATTTATTCATTTTATCAGCGTACGGTCGTTTTCTACTCTTTACGCTCAACATTATTTATTAATTATTAGTACTCTATGCATTGACCGACAGATAGCAACTGAAGTGTGTCGTGTCATCGTCATCGTAAACAAGCGCGCGATGGCATTGGTATTGCGCCCAACCCTGAATCTACCATCGCTTGGCCAGGTTTAATTATAAATCATGTCTACTATATCAAGCCAATATAATATATTTTCCAAGTACATAAATAAAGCTGATGTAAGCTGAAATTTTTTACACATTTGACCTCATAAAATGGGGTTAGAATAAATTTGGCAGTTTGGCATTATTTGATAAGTCTAATTTACTTACAAAAATGTAAATATCAATAAGAAGAAGTTATTAAAATATATGACATGAATTATTATTGACAGTATCGAATGACGCTGATAATTAATTTTAAAAATTTTAATGAAACATTTCAAGGTACGCTTTTAAGATTTAATTGAGGTAAATGAAGAATTAAATAAAATGATTTTCTTAGATCAGGATGATATATACTGGTATAAGAACGTTATGTGCTGGCCACATCAGATATTTTGTGTTCGTATTTATAATATTACCGTTTGAAATACGTACTTCTTTAAATTCCTATAGTTTCCTGATTCCCCACAAGTGACCGAGGTAATCATAAAGTCTGTTAAAAATTATAAATATACCATTCTGAAAATCAAATATATTTTTTATAAATAGAACAGTGTTTATATTTAAGAATCTGAAATGGTTAAATAGCATTATTAATATATAATATATATTTTAGCAGCATACTTGTACAGTTTCATTCGTACAATTTCATAAAAATGGCAATTAATTTAATTAATATGTTCAATTACATTTTATTTACTTGTAACGTGGGCATCGGTTGTGGTCCTTACAGCCCACATAATATTTATATCTGGAAATAACAGTTCCGCAATTTCTTAAAATCCCTTGTGTAATGTTAAACGAGGTCATAATTCTATATTCAACCAAAATACATAGAATTATTCGCAATGATTGCACCATGTAGCTGTCGACTAGAATACTTATTTGTCCTTAATGTGCCAAAATGTTTATTATTATACCGGGTGTCAGCTTAAAAAGTTTCCACCCCGGAGGGAACAGAGAAAGATGTTGAAGCGCAATTTTAACCATGTTGAATTGGATCGAGGGTGAGTAACTGTTAAACATGAAGATCAACTGTCCATGCAAATACATTCTTGGCCAATTAGGATCTGGTGGTAGATTTACAACCCCCGTGGCGCTTAACATTTGCTATTTCAGCTCCAGCACCTGCCAGTGCTGTGGTGACGTAGAAGAACGCCTAAAACAAAATCCTATGTACTGAGCTGCGTTGGGGAGGTCTAAATATGTAGCGATCATTTTGGTTATTTGCCAATAGTGTTAAATCCAACCACCTGTACAGTACATTTACCTTTTTTGTAATATATGAAAAAAAACCGATCATGCTTTAGATTTTTTAAACTTACATATTTACAGTATATGTCTAGGTAGTTTATACCCTCGAGATTACCATGTGTTCTGGTAAATGTTCCACTACAAAATACTTATTTCTATCTTCAATGTGTTTAGTCAGAATATTTGTTCAATGTTCAATTCTTTGAAAAGCTCCTGCTACACCAAAAATAACAGTAACCTAAAATAAATCTTAACTACTTTTTTTCGAGAAAAAATATAGATACTGAAATGTTACTTTCATCATCTTAAGAATTTCTCGTCTTTAGCATCACGAAGAATCTTATTTATTGCAGTTCTAGTTCTCACTTTAGACTTCTGGCTTTATAAGTCTCATGCTGGCACTTCAAGAAAGTTTTTAATTTGTGATACTTGCTAAAATCGAGGTCGGCCTTCAGCATTAGCGTAGATTTTAACAGAATAATATGCCTAAAGAATTGATGACTTAAATACCTTAGCTTCCTCTCCAAAATATGTAAGAACTACCGTTTCCGAAAAGTTTTTCAAGTTTTTCCTTTCGCACTCATCACAAAATTGACTGTAAGTTTGTTCATATCTCATATTGGATTTTCCTGGTTATAAACTTGTGGTTATCTCATCAGCGACTTTCTGATATTCGGCAGGAATAAATTTGTCCATCGATTTATCACTAATGTATGTGTATGTTGAATAGATTGGCATTGACTGATGGTCGAGCGGCAAAGACATTTGACTCTCACTCAAAAGTCTCGGGTTCGACTCCCGGCCGTGGCACTGGAATTTTTTCGTCCATAATAATTTAGGTATTCTCCAGGATCATACCTAGATATTTGTATTGGTTTTAAATTAGAATATTGTAGTCTTTAAAATAGATGTTTTCAGTCATCCTAAGTCTATGTCTAGTAAAAAACATTACTTCTGACTTCTCTGCAGTCTCTGCTGTCTATTAACCAGTTTTTTTTATACAGTATGCCATATACCTTAAGTCAATTATGCATCTATTATACAAACTGCGGAATGTGTATAAACAAATATCGTCACCATATTGAATATATTTATAATGGAGTCATCGAACATGCAACGCAAGTCTGCAATTTAACACTAATATCTTCCACAGTTATATTTTCGTAGCCAAAATCTCTGAAAATTTTGAATTCGATACAAAATTCAATGATAAGAAGAAATAATAATTGCAATCAATTTTATATGACGTTCGTGGCGCTGACACATTTTATACATATTTACAAAACAAGATCATCTGAATTGTTTCCACTGGATTTTTGTTAATATGGGGGCATTTGTCATTAACTAATGCTACGAGTTTGCACAAATGTTCATTCTCTCTTTCAAAGTGGTTTATATTATTGTATAGAAGTCAAAGGAGGTCATTTGAACAGTTAGTTTAATGAAAATATCAATTTGGAACAACGTAACGAAAACAAAGAGAGTATATAATTTTTAATTTTTTCTTTCAATTTCAGATCAACTAAATTAGTATGCCAATGAATTCCTTATAAAACAACTTTTCCAACAGTGCCAAAAAGGGTACAAAGACATTTGGAATTTTAGAAGGTGTGGTACACGTCTAGTTTTACGTAGAAACTTGTTCCCCTTGATCTTTTTTTTTTATATGTCTCAGAGATTTTCAAATAAATAATAAATATGACAACTACTTTGGGTGTTAGTTTTCATGTATATTAGCAGTGTATATATAAATATAGTCCAACAACAAATTGGGAAAAGCGGTTAACTATTTTATTTAGTTCATGACAGAGGGAGTTGACGTAATGTGTCACTACCGATTCATATATCTAAATAATGGGGATTATATGATATTCGCATTTCCATTCATAATTTCCACTGAAATTTATATTGCGCGCTGGAGTAAGCTTTACGCTTGTACATATTTAGTTGTAACAGTATTGGAATGGAGGAAACTGACTTTCTACCATCACTCGTTAGGTGGCAGTATAATACAGAGGTTTTGAGACCAACACGGAGGTTGTTAGATTATATTTATGTACACTCTAAATTAGCTTCAGCCTATTTTCAACAATTTGTAGATAGGCTAATCTTTGTGTTAAGATCTCTAAATTCATAACCAGCGGTAGAATTTACCAATCGGATGTGGCGTAAAACCAGGGTGGGCTTTAGGTGGTTATGATAAACACTCACTCAAAGATAACTTTAGGTATATGGGGATGTACATGACACTAAACTAAAAACACAAGTATTTTTCACTACCGGTTACAAGAATAAAAGTATATTACCAATATCTATTCTAAATGTTTTGTAGTTAAACTTTGGCGTCTTTGGCATACTGCGGCGTCTTGACTCTTGAGCATACTTAAAATATGTAAACTCTCACATTCATGCCCGGTGTAGCAAAGTCTTCTTCTTTGTCGTTTAAAAAGTCTATTACACCTGTCATCGTAACAAATCCGGGATTTTTTTTAACAGTTTGGAACTTTGTTTGTACCCTCTCAGCAATTTCTCCATGTAATTGAAAAATATATTGTCGAAGATCGAATACAACGTTTATTGCATCGACTGTAGTAAATTCTGATGTAGGCTGATATTGAAGGTAATGTATGGCTAGGGGAATTCGGGAAAAACTTCTGTGTATGGTCTCCAGATTTTCTGGAACAGTTGGATCCATAAATGATTGTTCACCTGTGAAATAGCAACTGCGACATTTGGATTTAACTGATATATTAGGGATTTCACATTTTCAAAATGACAGTAATAATACGATGCCGCCTCTAGCCAAGATCCCCATCGTATTATAATGGGCTGTGGAGGTAATGGAGTATTTGGTAGAATTTCATGAAATAACAGTACACGACTTGGTGATTTAAGAAATCTTTCTTTACACTAGATATCAAATTTTCAACATTAGGGTAGCATCTGCTAATAGCTTCAGCAATCTTATGCAGCAAATGTGCTAAACATGTTACATGAAGTATATTCTGATATGCACTGGCGGTTCTTCTATAGGGTCATTTGGTCAATGACCTCCCACTACAAATAAAAAAATAGAGCTATTCATTTTCTGAAGTTTAAAATATATATATATATATATATATATATATATATATATATATATATATATATATATATATATATATATATAATATATATAATATATATATATATATATATATATATATTTTTAATATTTTTTCTTAAAAAATATATTAAAGGTTCTAGTTCATTCTATGCACAATACTATTCAAATATCTAGATCGCAGGATTTCGTATCCCCTCCGAGCACCGAACCTCTACATTCATATTCATTACATTATTCATTCATAGAATTTAAAAATCTTGGGTCAATCCACAACTTGTCCTCAAAGCTAGCTACGGACCGAATTCACAACGAATTAAAGTGAAATAGACTTATGCGCGAATCGTCAGAAAGCAAGAGAGACAGAAAACACTGGCGGGGACAATGTCCCTGACATATTTTACGGAAACGGTAATGCACGAAGTTCAGTGGAGCAGTCTTAATGCTGATTAGGTACGCGTTGGTCGGTAAATTCTGTCGCGTTGTTTTTAATGTTTTTATTTGTGAACATTTTATTAGTAAATCTCTACTTGTCGTGAAATTAAGTAAAATAGTATTTTTGGTATTTACAATTAAATATGAGTGTTCTACAAAATATATTAAAACTGAAAGATGGACATAAGTTGGGTTATGAAGACCGAGTGAAATTCAAAGGTGGTGGCCGTCCAACACCTAATATGATGATAAAGCAAACATCTCTTGATAAGAAAAAAGAAGTTAATAGGTATTTTTAATTAAAAAAAGTTAACCTTCAGCAAATTTTATTCATTGTTACGCTCATCAACTAAATTTAATTTTACAAAAAGCATCAAGTCAGGATAAAAGCATAAAAATTTTGTTTGCTAATTTACATAGCTTTTCTTCATTCTTTGAAAAATCGCCAAAAAGAACAGCCGTGTTAGATAATGTTGTTAAGGTGAGATTACCTAAAGCGGCTCCAACACGATGAAATTTTAATACAAAGTGCATAGAGACTGTTTTTACCTATCGAACAGAATTATTAGATTGTTTAGAAAAAAGCATTGATAATGAATCAGAAAACAATACTCAATGTCATAACAGTAAATAAGTGTATTGGCGTTTTTAATAGTAAAATTGAAGACATCAGAAATAAAATTTTGAATAACTATTTGGAGGAGACATCCATGCAGTCTGCCCAGAGATGTAAAACGGAAGGATCAAAAAGGAGAATTTCATTAGAAGTTTGTGATATGATTACATCTGAGATCAAAAACAGATTTGGCTTCAGTAATCATTTAGCAGTGTCTCAGTTATTTCACGCAGATCGATTTAAAGATTATGAAAAAAGCTTTCCTCAAGATTTGTTAAAATTAGTTAAAACGGAGTATCCAGTCTTAAATCATTTGAAACTTAAAACTGAATTAGAAGTATTATATAGCCGAGAAGATTTTTCCAATAGTGAAGGTGCAGTTGCTTTGTTACAGCTTTTTATTAACAATAATTTGTGCAATACTTTTTCTGAAAGTGTCAAACTGTTAAAAATCTTGTGTACTCTCCCTATGACTACCGTCGAAAGTGAACGTTGTTTTTCCGCCTTAAAAAGAATAAAGACATATTTAAGAAATACCATGGGTCAGGAAAGGTTATCTTTAGCTATGCTTACCATAGAAAGGGCATTAATAAAGAAGATAAAAGACTTTAATGAAAAAGCAATTGACCACTTTGCATCTCAAAAAGACCGGAGGATCGACTTGGAATTTAAATCACTTTAAAAGGTAGGTAATACAGTAAACCTTTTTAATTGACCTCCCTATCTCTTGACCCACGAACCGCCATTGCGTGATATGTTTCCTTCAAAATTCTTCCAGCAGCTTTCATATAATTCACTCCATCGGTAAGAAATCATAAGAACTTGTCCTTATTTTCTGCATATTTGCCGGCCCAAATTTCTTGTAGATTTGAATTCACTACCTCCACTATAATGCGAGAATTTGTAGTAGCTTCTAAAATTTTAGAGGCAATCAAGTGCCCGCTCATTGAACAATTTTCCTTCAATACACCCACTAAAACATTTGCTACCTTAAGCCCTCAAGCATTAGTGGTTTCGTCCACGCTAAGCCAGATGTACCTCCCATTAAGCTCAAAAGAAATTTTCTGTCTAATATTTTCACACTCCGTTGACAACGGTTTTCTTCTTAGTGTAAACTCCGAAGGCATATCAACATTGCTATATTTGCCAGTAATATATTTTTCAAAAAATATTCTAAAAAATGGATTGTCTAGTTTCGACCCTGGTATGTTAAATCCTATTATAAATTGCACTAAATCTAAATTAAAAAACCGTTGCCAATTATTTGGGGATGTTCCTCACCGTAGTAAAAGTCGACGTATGGTGGAATTTATAATAAAAAGTAATTTTTGACGTTTCAAGAGTCAAATTTATTGAAATTTCAAAAAAGTCGTATTTTGACGTTTCAAAAAAACTCGATGCGTGACGTTTCAAAAAAGTCACATTGGTGGAGTGTCACCAATATCTTTTTTACATTTCAAATTGACGTTTCAAAAAAGTCATATTGGTGGAATGTCACTAATAATTTAAAATTTGAAATGTCAAAAAATATTTGACATTTCAAATTGACGTTTCAAAAATGTCACTAATATTTTTTTTCACATTTCAAATTTTAAGAACCGAATTTGCTCATCAACGAATTCAATCTCTTCCTTGATTTCTAGAATGTGTGTACCA